ATCGTGCCTTAGTAGGCGTAAATATTTTTCCTCAAAGCCCGTGGCCGGGGGTGGACCACAAGATGTGCGCCATTTTATTATCATTCCGAAAGAAACCAGATCAAGGAAAAAGTTTTTACAAGTTCAATTCTTCCCTTCTTAAGCGATCAGAATTTAAAACCTATATTCAAGATGTTTGGAAATTCTGGCATTCCACTAAGGACAAGCAAGACTCTTATATATCTTGGTTCAATAATGGGTTGGTTTTCCTTGCCAAAAAATGTAACGAATTTTCAAAGTTAATGGCTAAACAAAAGCACATACAAGAAATGGAAATTCAGGAACAAATTCTTAATTATGAACTACAACAGTATCCGGAAACACTTCCCCAACCAGTCGATATCCCAAGTCTTAAAAACCAACTTCTTATCCTTGCTCAACACCGTTGTCATCAGAGGTTAATTATCCTGACATCGGTCAAAAGATCAGATGGCCTCCTTTTTTTCAATTGCTCAGGCAAGGGTCAAGAGAACAAGTATTGAAATCTTGGTAGATGCTACTAATTCCCCTCAATCCGAGCCTGTCACGTCTGCTGGTAGTCTGAAAGTAGCCTATGATTTTTTTTAAAACCTCTTCACCTCCACGGTTAATTCTACAATAGCAGAACAAGAGACACAAATTTTTCTTGCTCCTCTGACACAACAGTTATCTCAGGAACAAAAAGAAAAACCGGAAGGTCCAATCACCAAAGAAGAAATCTGGACAACTCTTCTGCAAATGAACGAGAACAAAACCCTAGGGGTTGATGACCTCCCTAAGGAATTTTGAGAGACAATGTGACCTTTTTTTCTTGATGATCTTATGGACTATTACAATTATATGCAGGATTCTGGGAACATGGGGGACATTGTAGGGTAAGGAATTCTAACAACTAACATTTCGTTAAAACTGACATTTTTTTCTAAATTCACGAAAGTCGACTTGGTCAAAATTTCATTGCTCATCGGGTGAGAAAGTCGTTATCTCACTTTGTCCATCTGATGTACCTTACCGTAAAGTACCGTTAACATACATCCGATTGTCAGATCATCGAGAGTTGCCACGATACCCGATGATCTGATCATTCGACGTCATGAGGACAAAAAAACACTAAAAAATGTTGTTTTTTTGTACGCTCATTTTCGTGAATTTAGAAAAAAATGTCAGTTTTAACGAAATGTCAGTTTAACTCTGTTGTACAAAAAAGGGGATAAAACTAATATAAAGAATTATAGACGGATTACCTTACTTACGGTGGTTTATAAAATGTTAGCCAAAGCCATTGCAAATCGTTTTATCCCTGTTATGACATATATTATCCATCCCTCCCAAACAGGTTTTATCCATGGGAGAAATATGCAAGATAATATATTGCTAATCAATGAGATGGTTAAGTTATCTCATCAAAACTAACACAACGCTGCATTCATCTTCATAGATTTTGAGAAAGCATACGATCACGTTGATTGGTGTTTTTTGGATGCATGCTTAGCTAAACTGGAGTTTGGCCCTAGGATAAGAAAATGGGTACAAATTCTCCATTCCAATGCAACGACTCGTTCCCAAGTTAATGGTCTACTCTCCCCTAAGATTCAACTTCAGAGATCGGTAAGGCAAGGAGATCCACTAACACCTTTTCTCTTTGTAATTATCATGGACGCATGAGGGCTAATCTTAGAGAGAACCGCAACGTTAAGAGGCTTGGGATTGCCGACATTCCTGAGGAGGCAATTCCTATTCAATATATGTTTGCGGATGACCTAACTATAATGATGGAGACTTCCGCGATTAATTTTGAGGAAATTAAAGCAATCATGGACAAATTCTCTCAGTTATCGGATATGTTAGTTAATTGGAGAAACAAAACGCAGGGTTGGTGGATTCATTCCCAAGGAGATAGACCGCCAGAGTGCCCAATGATCAAATGGATGCCACAAGAGGCCCCAATTAGGGTGCTAGGAGTGGTCCTTACAACACAAGGGAAACCGAATTCAAATGACTTATGGATTTCTTCACCTGCACTAGAAAAAATGAGACAACGGAAATATCAACATACATCTTTATTTGGCAGGGTACTGATAATTAACAATGTGATCTTGGCTTCAATCTGGTATAAATCTATTTTGTGGTTATTAAACAAGGCCCCTACCAAGGAATTGCAAAGACAACTCGTTGCTTTTCTTTGGTGTGGTGACCATGAGACACCTCATGCGATTCCAAGAGTGGCTTGGTGGATTCTGATCCAACCTAAAGCCAAAGGGGGTCTTGGGATTCTTGACCCAACAATTCAGTGTCGGGCTCTTGCTCTTCAAGTATTAATGTGTCTGATATTGAATTTAGATCTTCCATGGCAAAGTCTGGCTCTTGAGCAAATTCGTAGACTTGCGCCCCAAATCACAAGTGAGGTACACCTTCTTACTTGGGTGGAAGACCGGTATTGGACTATTCCCTGATCTCATGTTCATTCTGCAAAACCAGGGGTGAGAGGGGCAGCTAGGAGAGATTCGGCATTGGATAATTTTTGGCCAACATTATTGAAAATCTGGCGAGAGCTACCTTTACCCAATAGGTCCCCGCCTTCTAGATATGAGGAAGTACTACGTCAACCCATTTTTGGCAATCAATGGATTACTGGCCCAAATGGTAGAGTTTTTATAAGCTCTGCATCTCCATGGTCTACATGGGTTAAGAATGTAGTAAGAATTAACGATGTGTGGGATACAGTGAGAAAGAGTTGGAAATTGGTGGACAACCTAAAGAATGATATTTAAACCAGTGTTGCCATCCCCCTGCTCTAGATAAGTATACTAAAAAAGGGTCCAATGTTCTTGGTTTCGGATTAGGTTTGTGGGAATCAAATTTTGGACACCCACATAGGCGTGTGCAACATTGGTTAAAAAAAAAAAAAAAAGATATTAAACAAAGAATTCAAGAATTCAACTTGGACTGGCTGGGGGATGTATCAAGGGAGAAATTGGGGGAGGTGGTTTGGCCAGGAGAGAAAGGGGGATCAGGTGTCCTTCAAGCAGGATTACCAGGTCATATTTCAAGACTGGTTTGGGCCTCATTCGACACCACTACAAAACCCTTACTTTGTAAGGGCGCCCTTATGACGAAAATGTGATTAATTTTCCTTTACCCCGTTTTTCGTTCCACAACCACTTTGTCGCACTTAAGTTTCAGGAGCCCATGTTTGCGCCTAACACGACCGAGAAGGGAATGCGAGTGTCCAACCCGGTGTTGCAGCGGACGAAATCATGTCCGCCACCTTTGGGCCCGTGGGAGACCCAAGCCAGCCATTTCCCCAAGGCGGGCGTGGCCCTGTCGTGGGCGCACAACGTCATTCGGCCGTGAAAGTTAAAGCGCGCAAGGACCCCAACCATTCGAATTCAAAATCCGCGCCGCCAGTTCACTTCGACCACAACGGATTCTGGACTCCTCGCCCTCGCGTTCTCCACGGTGTATGCGGCACTCATCCACCATTACGCCAACGCACGTGGCTTCGCGTGACTGCCGTGTGCCTTGTTTACGCAGCGGAGTCCAGCTATGGACAGCGGTGGGTGCGATGAGGCGGCGACGAGGAGATTGTCAACCAGTGAGAAGAGCATGGTCGCTAGTGCTGTCCTCGCGGTGACGACCACCACGGGGTGGCGGGAGGTGGGCGGTTTTGCTTGATCGAAACCGACGGGCTGCGCACACCACCCACAGTTCGCATTTGAAAGACGAGCCGCCAACGGCACTCGCACACCCGCCTCCGCGGGGAACCCTGCAACGGTCGCCTCCACACGCAAGCCGAAATGGCTAACCGGAGGGACTGCAGGGCCACAGCAGGGCCACCGCGCTACCCATTGGAGGCTACCGTGGGACCGCCGTCCCGCGGTGTATCGGACAACCCAGCCGTTAGACCAGGAACGCGAAGGAAACACCTGACGAAAAAGAAAAAAAAATAAAAAAGCAGTTTTTCCATGGAAGTAAGGGCGCGACCCCTACTTTCAGGTCACCTCCACGGCCGTCCTTACGTTTGCGTCCGTTTTGGCTGGGGAGTCCTTACTATTGTGGGGCTTGCCCTTACGGCCGCGAATGTGAAAACAAATTCGGCATCTTTTTTTTTCGACATTAGGGAGGGGTAGAACGATGAAACCCTTACATGTAAGGGTTTTGTAGTGGTGTCGAACGAGGCCCTTTGACATTCAACCAGGAGCTGCCTTGAGATCGTCTGAGTTTTTTCCTGATAAATTTCCTCCATCTCAGCTTGCTTTGGTAGATCTTCAGTGGTTTGGGGGGGGAGAAGGATGAGAGGCAGTGTGGAATGGTTAGAGGTTTTGCTTGAGTGTCTACCAAGGGGCTGTATTATGGGTGCTTGAAGGAGAAACTGCTGGATATAGTTTTTCCATTAAGCGGCCAGGAAACTGGCTGAAGAGGCAGTTTTTTCTTCAGAAATGGGGCAGTCCATCCATCCTTCAGAAATGATTAGGTTTAGTATCTGCATCAGTCATTGATTGTTAGCTTCACCTGTAGTATCGACGTGCTCAACGGGTGCTTTTTATCAAACTCAATGTTGTATTTCTAGGGATGCTGGACCCGTTTTTCAGCAGGTGACACTCTCCACCAATAGACTTGAGCTCTGTGTGTGGCAGGTAGGAGTGTATGCTCTTACCATCACTCCTATCTGTCGTGACGGGTTATTTAAAAAAAAAAAAGATAAGATGCAAGGTAGAGTAGGCTAACTTAGGCAGGGGTGGTGGTACATCCTTCCTTTGAGAAGTAATCAATGTCGTCCTTCGGGTCTTCACACCATAAGGTGGAGGAGCATGAGCTAGCGTACATTGTAGTCCCTTCTGACTTGCTGGTGGAATAGGAACCGGACTGATGCTCCCCAGAATGGAAAGGAGCCAGAACTGTAAGGTTCTGTTTGTTTGTTTGTTTTATCAAACAAAAAGGAAATGCAGCAAGCAAGAGTCTTTAGAGGTGAGAGAGTCCACCTGGGTCACCAACGACAACATCGGAGATCGCGTCCTGCATGATTGCTGCCAACTCAATGCCCTTTGCGCGGACTTTCTCACTGAATAAGCTGATAACATCATCGACTTCTCCACGGAGATCGAATGGTATAGTCTCCAGGTCCATACGCCCTGCCTCAATCTGTACAAAGCATAGACAGACACACACAGGACAGCAACCCCAGAGCGCAAGGTCAGGACATTCTATCGCTCCTGAGAGGACACTCTACTGCGACATATAAATTTGCAAGGAACCTGCTCCTGAACCCAGCAGGCTCTGAGAACAGTACCAGTTTGTGTACTTCTCTCTTAAACCACCAGAAAGCACATCCCGCTATTGGCCACGGGCCCTTTTCGGAGGCCGCCCGCCGCCGATTCAATTTATCTATAACGCTGGGCCTCCGAAATTTTCGTAGGCGACGAGTTTTTTTTCCAGCAAGGCTGGGGCCGTGTACAGGCGGTTTAAGAGAAGACCAAACCAGAAGCAGAACTGACAAGGCCAAGATCACACGAATGGAAGGACACCAACGACACTGAAGCCTCTTGATTATGAAAAAGTGCACTTCTCGGGTTCAAGTTCCAACCAATATATACAACAAAACGTAGTAGTAGTTATTGATTTGCCCCCTGTTCAGGGGTTGTGGCCACCTACCCGTACTTCCTAGTCTAGCCTAGACTACTCATCAGGTATCCCACAGAGCCCTGTCCCACTTCCACTAACGATCGCTTGAAAAGACGCTCCGCGTTGGAGCTTCTCCCTGCCGATCATCAGGTAAGTATCCGCCAACCTTCCCCGCAGTTGTCCTCCTCTTCCCTATCACCACCGTTACCGTACAAGGCGCCAATCTGCTATCACGCCTGTTGCCTTCCTCAGCGCCTGCTGCTAGGGTGCTGGTCGGCTGCCGGTCGTCCCTCTCGCACATGCGCTATGATTTAGCACCACTGCATCATGGCGGTGACCTGCATCCGAATGTCCGTTTGACTGGCCCGGCCTGACTCATGTATAGAGCCCAACCCTCGGCCGGTGGGGACTGCCCACTGCAACTTTTCAGAATCGGCCTGACTACCAGGCCCAGGCAGGGTTGTCCGGATACCCCTGACTCCAGGGCCTACTGGGCCCATGACCTTAGGACCCAGGGCCTACCGTCCCATCCAGCCTGCTGCACAGCCCCAGGGGCCTCACAAATCTGAGATAAAGTCTTTTAATTTGTAATGGATGGTAGCTAGCATCAACTTCTAATCATTTCCCAAAGTTCATTACAGGCGAAGAAAAATGAAAAAAAGCAATGAAGAAAGGGCTCAGAGAAAAATGGCTCAGCACCATCAGCAGAGAAAGGACGCTGAGAACAGGACCAGTTGTAAATTGTAATGACTACACCTTATGTCAAAAGGAGGACGGTAGGCAATTTTTTCCCTGCCCTTTTTTTGCTCTTCATTTGACCTCACTTGTTGACGCGCAACCATCCCATCCAGCCTGCTGCACAGCCCCAGGGGCCTAAAAAATCTGAGATAAAGTCTTTTAATTTGTAATGGATGGTAGCTAGCATCAACTTCTAATCATTTCCCAAAGCTCATTACAGGCAAAGAAAAATGAAAAAAAGCAATGAAGAAAGGGCTCAGAGAAAAATGGCTCAGCACCGTCAGCAGAGAAAGGACGCTGAGAACAGGACCAGTTGTAAATTGTGATGACTACACCTTATGTCGAAAGGAGGATGGTAGACAATTTTTTCCCTGCCCTTTTTTTGCTCCTCATTTGACCTCACTTGTTGACGCGCAACTGGTTTCATGGCTGATCAGTGATTTCCGCATAACTGTCATTTGGACTTTGCGAAGTTGGAAGGTATGACCTAAAGGTTCTGATTCAAAAGCACTGTTTTTGAACTTTTTCAGCTCTTTCGAACGAGGTCTCAAGTTCAAACACTTCTCAACCTGCTGTTCTTTGGTGTTGCATGTTGCAAGTTATTTGACTGTTTCTCAGGAGTTCATTAGCTTCATATCCAAAGGGAGGGGGGAGGTGGATGGGGGAAGGGGGACGGGGGAAAGGGAAAGGAAAAGGGGGGCTGCTATGAGACTGAACAAGAAAAAGGAACGATACAGAGAAAATTAGCATGGCAAAAAGGAAGAGGAAGAAAAAAAAAGGAAGAGGAAGAAAAAAAGAAAAGAAAGAGCGAGAAAAAAAAGAGGGAAAGTATTCGCACCGCTGTGGGGCTCGAGTTGCGATCTGATTAGGACAGCAAAAGAAGTTCACGAATGATGCCCCCTCCTGGAGGAGACTGTCCTTGGGGCTGTCACAAGATATCTGATCTCCCCACTGGTCGAGTACAACGACAGGCACCTCTTGAGGCCTAGCATCCACCCTCTACTTCGATCTGGACTACTTGAACAAAAAAAAAAAAAAAAAAAAAAAAAGTGGAAAAAACAAACAAACCTACTCACCTTGGAAAGGTCCAGCACATCATTAATGAGATTAACCAGGGCATTACCACTTGACTGGGCTGTCAGCGCATAATCCAACTGGGTGGGGTCGAGATCGGTATCCAGCAAGAGGGAGATCATCCCAAGCATACCTGGAAGGAAAAAAGGGGCATATACCAAGCATGGGAAATCAGAAAAAAACTGAAAAGAAAAAAGATAGTTAGGGCATAGTCACATGATGACTTTTTTGGCTCCCCTCTGGACGTACTTGCAGTCAGATGCATGCAGGAGACGCTGCAATTTCAGAAAGATACATCAAGGGAAGCTCTTGTGTGAGTATGCTGTTAGTCTGTGCCCAACAACACTGAGTTTTACCGTCTCGTTGAACTCCTGGCACATCTGGAACCCGTTACACCCAGCATACCTGGCAGAAAAGACAGGGCACACACCAAGGCAAGGAAACCGGGACGCTTAACCCGCCCGCTACTTGGAGATTCTTGAACTCACCAGTCCCAGGTAGATCAGATTCTTCGTCAGAACCTTCTTCTTTTTTCTTTTTTTCTTTTTTGGTTCAGAACTTCAGAAGTTAAAATCAGAACTAATTTATTCTGGTCATCCGATTGTATCTGGATTCGAACTTATTCGCACGTTCCTATTTTTATTTCTTTTGTAATAACCCACAAAAGTGCGGACCGTGCAATGTGCATCCTGTGCTTTTCTGAGGTTTTGCCGTTGTTCTGTGTGTCCGCAGGGATTGCTGCGGTCTGAGTCTGTTCCTGGTAAGGTGGTTGGTGATATCATTTTTTTGTTCCGCATAGCTAACCGTCTGTCTGAGTACTTGGGGGTGTGTGTAACTGGGAGTGATGGCCTTTGTCTCGATGTTGGCCCTCTCGGGGCTGGTCCTAACCCCTGTTGCTGCGTTGTTGGCATGTGCAGCAGGTACAGGGCTAGCAGACTGCAGTACGCTCGGAGTAGGTAGGCCCTAGGCGGCCAAAACCAAGTAGTACCGAGTAGGTAGACAAAGAAGGACAAAAAGGCAGTACTTTTTATAGGCCGAGATACGTTCCTGAGGGCATACTTACAGTAGCACACATTTTCATAAAATCGTAAATTATAGGTGATTTTTTGGGTCACACGGGCTACGTATTTTGCGTTCTCACGCAAATGGGCACATAAATGTCAGCGGCTTGGACAGCCGCGGGGTTATGTATTTCGCAGGAACCTATGGAGGTCCCCACAATTGCGTATTTCTTTTAGACCTGTTTCTTTCTGGACACAAAAAAAAAGAGTTCGACGTTTGGTCGGCAGCTCTCGTAAGAAAAGAAAAGAAAAAAACAGGAAAAAGGAATGGATTTTGAATTTTTGATGCATCATGCTGTGTGACCCCTCGGCCCGTATAATCGCATTCCTAGAGCAGGTCGAGACACTGTCCTTTCTGTTTTGTGATGTATACGGGTGTGCTGTGTGACTGGGAAGTGCCGTATAATCGCAAATTGGCTCACATATAATTTGCGATTGTACATGCTAGCGGGAGTATGCCCTGAGGGCCACTAGGCCTAGGAGAGAGGTCTAGAAGGTACTGGCCTGAATAAAAGCCTGAAAAGGGTCTACATCCAGCTCCTGTAGGTAGGTTCTGAGTCTGTCAGTGATTTTCCACCAAAATGGCTGGAAACCAGTAGGGCCTACCGTCTTCACCCGAATAGAACGTACCGTCATTTTCGCCGCATCTGGACTGAAAGGTGAGCAAAATACGGATATAATGACCGTACGTTCTATTCGGTTGAAGACGGCAGAGATCGAGTAGCTGGGAAGTCACCAGGTAGTATATCTGGAGGAGTGGTGAGTTGGCCCTCCTCTTTTTCCACTAGCACGGCAGCAATGCTTCTGATCCTGGAGCTTGGTGGATGAAGCTACACAGCAGCCTAGAGGTGGAGCTGCCGCCCACCCTGGCTTAGGCTGACTTTGGTGGCTGAGCCAGTGCGAAGTAGGAGAAGGGCAAGGCTATGGAGGTGAAGTAGAGGGAGGAAGATGGAGGATGAAGAAGATGAAGGCGGAGAGCGAAGGAGGATACTTACCTTGGCTAAGGCGGACCTGCATCTTCATCACCTTCGTTGGTGCTGCACCTAGAAGGCCCCTTAAGGGGGTACAGATTACGGAATACCATATGGTGAACTAGACTTGGAAGTAGTAGTGGGAGGAGGCATAAGAGCTCCGCGTTGTCCTGTGAGCATCCGGGTTATCGACGTGGATGGGCCACCGCTGGATGGCATACCAAGAGGTGTAGGACGTGGAGGAGGGTCATGGGAGGGGAGGCCTTTTATGTCACTGACAGTGAGGGGGAGAATTCCGACATTTGATTCTGCCTTTTCCTTTTTTTTTCCCTTTTTTCTTTTCAAACTAAGCTATATCCTTCTCTCAATATACCTCCCACTACCTACCTAACTAGGAATGGTACACACGTTGATCTACCCTGAGCCTATCCCCTTCAGGGTTGAACCTAACCCCTGGCAATGGGTGGCATTCCCTGATTCTGGCTTTTCCAGTCATTCTTTTTTTTTTTCTTTTTTTTTTTTTTAATAACAAAACTGGACCTTATGGCCCATGCTCCTTTTCCATTCTGGGGAGCATCAGTCCGGTTCCTACTCCACCGGCAGCCTATCCCCTTCAGGGTTGAACCTAACCCCTGGCAATGGGTGGCATTCCCTGATTCTGGCTTTTCCAGTCATTCTTTTTTTTTTTTTTTTTTTTTTAATANTGACGCGAAACTGCTGCACTGTGTGCCGGCGCCTTCCTGCTCTGGCACCAGCTGTCTTCTAGCTTGCTGACGTGGTGCATGCCACGCTGTCTTCGACATTGCTGATGTGGTGCATGCCACCCTGTCTACATTGCTGACGTGGCATTGCCACACTGTCTTCATTGCTGAGTTGGACGCGACAAGGAGGGAGATTGGGATCTGTGGATTGATTGAGTGAGAGAGAGGATACTTACCTGTTGCTGCTGTTGACTTTGCACACGTCTTCTCGGGAGAACTGTGCCACGTGGCACTCTGATGTGATCAGGCCCTGTCAGGCTCGTTTCTTGGACACTGTTTTCTGACATGGAGACGAGGGGAGGCCCGGAGAAGGAGAGGGAAACGTGGGGCTGGTATCTATGTGGTCATTGATGGATACTTACTCTTCCACCCTCTAAGTCTATTCCCCCCCTTCTCTCCTTTGTCCATTGGTTACAAGACATTGTAACACGGATCACATTTCATGATTATTGGAGACATTATTTGGCGCTGAGTTATCTTGTACTTCGACGCTTGACGAGTTTCCTCTGGACTGGGTTCATTACACTTCTCCCGTCCCGTACTTATTATCTCAGCTCGCCCTCTCTTGCCATCTTACAACCGGATGGATGGAAATACCCCACTTATGTTTGAAGGCACAAAACTAGCCCAATCAAGTTGATATCATGGACGTCTGCAGGGCCAGTTTCAGATCATGAACTTGGACACCTGCAGTGCTGCACATTAAGGTGCATTCCGACTGCTGTCACTCCTGGATTTCCAGACCTGTGTGGGCTGTCTATGTACGTTTCCCTGCTTCAAAATCCTTATCACATGGCCATACCAACGAGAAGCCAAAATTGATCAAGCTTTACCCAATCAAACACCTGTACTAATAGTCGATCCTTCATTGCTACCTGGTGAACTGGGCTCTGACTCAAAGCCTATGGCTGAGTGCGGATTCTATTTCTTGCATGGGGAAAGGAGCTGCTTCATAGAGTGAGCAAGACTCAGAATGTCTGGGCTATACCCTTCCTTACCCTTGGGTATATCCGAGGATCAACAAACCGTCACAGTTGATCAGTCCTCGAGCGTCATCATAGTATCGCCCCAGCCGCCATCACAGCACCTCCATGAGCAGGTTCTTCTCCGTCTTCGTCTGAGTAAATTCCATCTTCACAACAAGGGCCGTGGGAGAACCTCTTCGTGGACGAACTGCTCCCCAACCACCTCTCCTCACTCCCAGATAATCTTTTTTTTTTTGTTTTTTTGTTTTTTTCATACAAAACTGGACCTTATGGCCCAGGCTCCTTTTCCATTCTGGGGAGCATCAGTCCGGTTCCTACTCCACCGGCAAGTCAAAAGGATAATACATCATAATTACAGACACACGCTTCCTTCTGTATGGCCGAAGGACCCCTGACCAGCATTGATTGCTCCATCCATATGGATGGTTGACTGTGTTACGATCCTGGCCAATTTCGAAGTATACATTCATCTGAAAGTACAATGCCATCCAATTGCAAAAAGAAATGAAAGAACTTGAGAGGAAAGAGAGGGAAAGAAGAAGAAGAAGAAGTGAGAAAGAAGAAGATGATGATGTACTCCAGCATAGACCAATGTCAAGGCTCTTCTTCTTCGCCAACCAATCCCTTCCTCCTTATCTCCTCCTCTCTTATTCAAACAAGAAATAACAATAATAATGTTGAATGACTGAACCAGAATCAATGTCCGAATCCCACGTCTACTGCAGGCACAATATGAGGTCCACCATAGCCATGGCAACCCTTCCTCTTCCTCTACATACAGGCCGAGGCTATGGTGGACTACTGAGGCTTCAGCCTCCCGTCCAAAGGACAACCCAAAGCAGCTATGCCGCTGCCCCACTTCAAGGTCATCACCATGCAGCTATGCCGCTGCCCACTCAGCCACCATGCCTGACTCTGTCCCGAGCTTCCTTGATGCGGCACTACCCCCACTGGGGCCTTCCTGATGCAGCGCCTAGCAAGGAGATGAAGATGGTGTCTACCATAGCCAGTAAGTGCCTCGCCACTCTCCTCCTTGGTCCCCTTCTCCCTCTTCCTCCTACCGCCGCTACCGGTAGAGCTCCACCATAGCCAAGGTGGAAGCTTCCGGCTTCTTCCTCCCAGCAGCGCTGTAGTACCCAGCGCTACTCCAGCCAGCGCTCCAGCAGCGTGTCGCCAAACTTGCACACTGAAGAATGAGGCTGGGCTCTCCGCCCTGCCTCTTGATATAGCGGCCTACTTGCCTCCTGGGCGGTGACTTCCAGGCCGCTCGGCCTCTCCAAGCAACCGGTACTTCCTCCGTTTCGGAGGGAAACATCATTGCAGACCCTGATATTACCCGTACAGGCTCTAGACT